GTTCCGCAGATCCTCTATTTTTTTTATCTGTGTCCTCTCTAGATTTATTAATCATGTCTTGCACCATGAGCACAATCTTTGGTGTTATCTGAGTAATTATTTCTGATTTCATTTTTCCCAGATCCTCTTTTGTTACCAGTTCAGAGAGTCCAGGTAGTTGAGTATCGGATTGTTCCATCTCATTGCCCTTTGAGGTTGCTGTAGGTAATCCAGAAATCTGTTTTTGAGGCTTGTTTACGTGTCCTCTCATTTCCACAGGATGGGGTGCTTCTGGCGCCCACGCGGCTCACCTTCTCTGCCCTAGGAGCTTGGGATGGCATCAGGGGAGCTTCTTTCCAGGTTCTGGGACCAACTCAGCTTCTCTGCCCTAGGAGCCTGGGATGGCAGTGGGGGAGCTTCCTTCCAGGTGCTGGGACCAGCTGAGCTTCTCTGCCCTAGGAGCCTGGGATGGAGGCAGGGAGCTTCCTTCCAGGTGCTGGGACTGGCTGAGCTTCTCTGCCCTAGGAGCCTGGGATGGAGGCAGGGAGCTTCCTTCCAGGTGCTGGGACTGGCTGAGCTTCTCTCCTGGCATAAAAATTGACAGCTGATCCATAGAACTGTGTAGCAAGGACCGAAGTCAGCCTTCACTTAGACTGACTGTGTTAGTTAACTTTATGTTGCTATTATAAAATACCTGAGAAAAATCAACTTAAAAGAAGAAAACTTTATTTGGGCTCATGGTTTTAGAGATTGCAGTCCATGGTTGGCTGGCTCCATTATTAAGGGCCTGTTGTAAGGCAGAGCATTGTGGCAGAAGGGCATGGTAGAGGAAAGCTACTCACCTCATGGTGGCCAGGAAACAGAGTAAGGGAGGAAGGAAAAGAAGCAGATGGGGCCAAGATATATTCTTCCAGGGAATGGCCCCCCAGGACCCATCTCCCACAAAGCCCCACCTCCTACAGTTTCCACTACCCCCCAGGAATCCATTCAGTTTTGAACCCATCAATAGATGAACCCATTGATGATATCAGAGCCTTCATGATCCATTCACTTCCAAAAATCCCACCTCTGCACTTTGCTACAATGAGGACCAAGCCTTTAAAATGCAAGCCTTTGGGGGGATGTTTCAGATCCAAACCATAGCATTGTTGATTGATTTCTTACAAACCAAATAATACTATGGAGAAAGGAAGGTATTTTCAACAAATAGTGTTTTAAGATTTGATATTCATATGGGAAAAAATGAATTTGTACCTCTACCTTATACTATATACAAATATTAATTTAAGGTGAATCATAGACATTATCTATAAACCATAGCTTTTTAAAGAAAATATGGTAGAGTATCTTTATGACTAAAGGTAGGCAAAAGTTTCTGAGAAAACAAAAAATAACCATAGAAGAAAAAATTGCTAATTAAATTTCATTTGTAACTCCAGCATTGTTGATGCAAGTGTAAAGTGGTGTGAATGTTTTGGAAAAAGACCTAACAATGTTCTGTAAAACTACAAATGCATAATCCATGACCCAAAAAAAGGGAAAAGGAAAAAAAGGAAAATCCCACAAAATGATTTTCGTATAATAGCTTTATTCATAAGAGAAAAAAACTCAAACCACCCAGGGAAACCTATCAGTATAATAGGTTTGATGAATGAATGAACTACAGTATATCTGTATAAATATATATAAATATATATATATCAGTGTATATAGTATATCCATATCTATGTACAGTATAACCATAAACTACAGTATATCCATATAATGGGATCCTCAGTACTAAAAAAGATTATACTACTACTTATTGCAACAGCATGGATGAGTCTCAAAAATATTGTCCTGAGTGAAAATAAGCCTTGTATAAGAGGATGTACTACATGATCCCATTTAATGAACATTGGAATCATATAAGCAGAATCATATGCCATGTACTAATTTTTTCTTTTTTATATTCACTTTTTTAATGTATTAAGTTTTGATGGAAAATTTTAGTGGAAAAATCAGAATAGTGGTTGCTTCTGAATATGGTGGTATTTACTGGAAAGGGACAGAGAAGATTTTCTGAGATAATAGAAATATTCTATTTTTTGATAGCAGTTTGAGTTACATGGGTATATGCATTTGTCAAAATTCATGGGATGATGCACTTAAAATTTATGCATTTCAGTGTACATAAATTTGAACTTAAAGAAAAAAGAAATATAGTTCTAATTATATGCATTTAGGGGAAAATGTACTTGTGTCAGTATTTTATGTTGGAATACCTCCAAAAAAATAAATGGATTGATGGATGGACAGAGAGAATGAGTAGATATGTGATAAAGCAAGTATAGAAAATATCGATAGTAGAATCCAGGTGCTAATCATACAGGTTCATTATGAGGTCTTTCAATGTTTCAGTATGTTTGAAATTTTTTATACAAAGTGAGTAAAGGGAAGAAAATTATAAACTTCAGCATAGTAGCCATTCATAGGAATGGGAAATAGGAAGGAACTAAGTGCAGTTATTGATACTCTTCCAGATCTTAGATGGAATGGTGTTCACAGGTTTTTGCTTTATTATTGTACCTACCTCAGTAACTTAAATATATGTTAGATACATTCTTCATTATATAATACTTTGTACAATAAAAAATAATGTGACAAGAATACATCAGAACTTGAGATCTATTAATAAGTAATAAATGACATCCCAGGAAACAATTTCTATGAATTAGAATTCCCTTGGGCACAAAAACATAAAATTTGTGTTTGCTCATCTAAGTCTTTTTCATTTTCGTTCTTCCAAGTTCTCACTGTTGATTTCAGAGACAATCAGTTCTTTTCCAGCAATGCACTATAACACCTTACACCTGTACTTTCTCTGAGAGTAGCATCTTTGTTGTATTCTCTCTTTGGGAAAAAATGTTAAGCATCCTTAAAATCAGTATTGGGAATAACAGGGGGGAAGTTATAAAGCTGGCTGTGGCTGCCCAGGAATTTAGACAAAATTATTTAGAGGTAGATGGGGGTGGCTTTATAAACTAGAGAATGTAAGTGACTCATTGGCAGACAGTGCACATATTATTTGAGATTATTTTTCTCCTCCTACATCTGTGTATTCCAGATAAGACGTAAGTGATGGGAGAACAAATATAAAATTCAGAGAGAAAATTTAAAGAAAAAGCCTCTCAGTATCATTCATTCTATCATCTTATCTCACTTTTCTTTCATGGCAATATTCTTGTCTTTATGAAAAGCTGTATAATGTAATAAAGTGTACTAATTCCTACCCAAGGTCAGGAAGAAGCATGATATAGTTTTCAACAAGTTAGGAGACAGTATATTGTTGGCTTTCATTCTAGCCTTCATCACATGAGTTTGCTTGGACAACTTATTTGCTTTTTGTGAATTTTGGTTTCTTCATCTGTAAAATATTCATTGAGTTTAAGTTGCTATAAATTCTAAGGCTATTAGTTTAGTGCCACTAAAAATAGAAAAATTGTGGCCAGGCATGCTAGCACGTAACTGTAATTCCAGCACTCAAAAGGCTGAAGCAGTAGGATGTGAGTTTGAAGCCAGCCTGGATTTAGTAGCAAGAACCTGTCTTGAAAAACAAAACCAAAAAATTTTACTTAAAGTGTAATTCAGTGTTTTATTAATTACATTGATTTCTCTTTTGTGATGTGTATATTTGAATCAAAAATATGACCGTCTATCCTCCGAGTTTGTGTAGAATAAGTAGGATAATGTAAAGGGCCATGCACCATGCTTGGCACAGTGTAAGTACTCAGTAAGTGATAGCCATTATGTTGATGGTGTTGGTAATTTGGTCGTAAGCACTCAGAAGTGGTGCTCATTGTTTAGCTTGTTCTTTGGGGAATGGACTCCTAGGGCATCTTGATGAGATTTGTTGGTGGTACTCAGAATTCCCACACATTTTAAAGTTGAAGTAGCATAAGAGTAGCATAATGTGTTCAGTTAGTTTTCAGAAGTGATTGTTTTAATGTGTAGCTCTTTGTTACCAATGAAATCTTTGTGAATTGTTGCTCTTGTTTCCTCTAGGAATAAATTTTGTTATCAACCTCCTGGGTTGGTAGAAATCACCTTTTATGAAGAGACTTTAGTTTAAATGCATAACAACATGAATGAGATATTCCCACATGTAAAGCTTAGTAAAATTCTACTAATAATATTGTGATGTGAGACTTCAGGTTTTAATTTTCATTTTCTCTATATACAGGAGGCAGACAGTGGGGAGGAGGAATGCCGGTCACAGCCCAGAAGGTATGTCTTTTCAATATATCCTATAGTGCTTTTATAGTTACTGTTTTTTCTTGAAATCTTTTTCAGTCTTGTCAGATTAGCTTAATCCTGATTTTCCAAGATGTTTCAAAAATGAGGCTGCTTCCAAGAATCCAATGCACGGGCTGGGGATGTAGCTCAGTGGCACTGTGTCTGCCTGGCAAGTGCAAGGTCCTGAGTTTGATCCCCGGTACTAGAAAAAAAGAAAAGAATCCAGTGCCTGATTTAGAAAACTTTAAAATGGTAGATTTTTTGTTTTTTTAAAAGGATGCAGATTCAGTGATAGAGTGCATATTTAGCATGTTTAAGGTCCTGGGTTAGGACATGAACTGTACCTAGCTAGTCTTCTGAGAAACAATAAACTTTGTTTTGTATTTCTGGAGGAAAGAAAAGCCCTGAGTTCAATCCTCAGCAACCCCTCCCCCGCAAAAAAAGATGCAGAAAGACCAATTTTGATTCAGATTTCACCAATCTCTAAGGAACTACCTTGGGTGATAAAGAAATAAATTGTCCTTACTTTTTAGGAGAGTATCAACTGAAGAACATTTCAGCCTTCAGTTTTATATTTACAATTCTCATATGTTTTTATAGATTTTGGCAAATCTTACAAATTCAGTATTTCATTCTATACTTATATAAAGGGTATACTGGATAACCTACCCAGTCTTTTAAAATACAATGAACCCCCCCCCACACACACACATACCCTTGACAGAATAGTGGGCTTGTTATTAAGGTTATCAATAACCCTTGTAAGACCGAGGGCCTTACCAAACGCTCCGAGGAGCTGACTGCAGCGAAGAACACCCGGAAAGGAACACATCGGACAAGTTGGAAAGTAAAACAGACCTTTATTAGTCTGGCCAGGCGGCACTCCCAAAGCAAAATAACTTAGAGAGGCAACTGGCTCAGAGTCCGAGGCTGTTCTTATAGGGGGTTGAGGGGGAAGTTAACATATAGAATTAAAGAAAAGGGGACAAAGGTTAGTGGTCGACTGTCACATATTGATGGTCAGCAGACATTTTCAGCTTGTTTTATAGATTGTGGTGTCCGGAACATCAGTTCCGGGCAAACAAGGAGTTGAGTAGTTTACTTTGGGACTTTAGGTCTGTTACAGATTTTTATCTAGTGTCCCAAACTAACAAGCATCTTTATCCATTAACTCACATTTAATCACAATGGGGCTGGAGAAAAGGAACAAAGGTTATGCAGTCCCACACCCTTACCAATAAAAACATTATAAGAGAAATCTAGGAAGTATAAAATAACACTTCTGGGGCAAATGTGCAGCTTTAGAGAACTTGTTTAGCATGCACAAGGCCCTGGGTTCAATCCTCAAAACCAGCAATGCAAAAAACAAATTTCTGTTGTCTTATTTACATGGTTTTTAAAAGCAACTCTGTTCAAGAAAGATCCGTGGTAAATTCTAGATGATCATTTAAATGTTAACCAAACTTGTATTCTCTGAACTCATTAATGACCCATTTGAGTGAGAATGGATACTGAGAATGATACAGTAAGCTTGCTCATTGTAAGCTGGCTAAAGGGAATGCTTCCTTAATGATTAATTATCAGGTATTTGTTGATAAACAGTATGCCTTCCTCTTGTAGACTATAACTTCAAATAAAAATAGCTCTTTTTCATCAGTAACTGAGGTTACTAGTGATTTTTTTTGTCTTAGTTATCACATAAATTTTGGTTTGAAGTTTAATTTCTCACTGTGTAAGGGAAGATCTGACAGCAAATTGTCCTTCTTTTGCATTGGGCTAGAAAGTAGAAATCCAACAGAAATTTTACCATAGGCATCATACCCTTATTCTCATTAGAATAAAAAAAAAGATTCCAAAGGATTCTTAAATTTTCTAGTAGGTCAAATTTAAAGATTTCTGGGTTAGGGCCAGGGATTTAGCTCAGTGGTTCTGCCACCTGCCTCACAAGCACAAGGTCCCAAGTTCGATCCCTGGTACCAAAAAACAAACAAACAAAAAACAGATTTCTGGATTAATTTGAAGCTTTGTATATTAACTTGGAATCCATTGAGATAATTGTCGTTCCAAAAAATTACATAAGGATGAAGCAAGGGCCCATTCTCTGATTCACAGCACTGAATTGTCAAGCCATTAAGAGATATAAAGACCTGTTTTTTAAATTGTTGGCAATAATTTATTAATATGACCAGCAGAGGATTTTTGTAAACTTCTGTTCACAAACAAAAGCATCACTTACAGAAATAAGGAAAAATCTAGCAGCACCCATTTTTCAAAAAAATCATAATTTGTAGCCTATTATAATTTCTTATATTCAGTGTGTTTGTAATGTTATTTCTAAGTTTAATGGCTTTAGTCTGACTCAAAGCAAAGAAATTTTCTTACAATGCCCTCTATAGGGATGGGGATTTAGTTCAGTGGTTCCACTGCCTGCTTTGCAAGTGCAAGGTCCCAAGTTCGATCCCTAGTACCAAAAGAAATAAAAAAAAAAAATGCCCTCTATAACTAGAAGGTTTGTTAAAAAGTTGATTTTTTGTATATTTGGATACTAAAGATTGTTCTGGCAATTCTCTGTCATTTACCACAGAATAAATCAGCACTGAGTCCTTTCATTAGACATGCTGGAAATCATCTTGTCAGTTTGTGGGTTCAGTATGGTTTGTAGAAGAAAACTAAATAGGAAACATCAGGTCATTAGAACTAAAGGTCCATTCTAGGTAATAAAAAAGACATTACTTTAGTAATTTCTTATTTTAACCTAATGCCATTTGCTGGTGAAGTCTTAAATTAAAAATAATCTCTCAATATAATTAGACCAAACATGCCTTTAAAAACCAATGTTCACAGGTAACAATAATAAGAAAAAAAATAGATAAATTAGTCTACGTAAAAATTTAACAATTCTGTATATCAACAACCAACAATTTAACAATTCTGTATATCAACAACCAACAAAGTGAAAAGGCAACCTACAGAATGGAAAAAATATTTATAAATCATAATAGCTGGTAAGGGTTTAATATTAAAAATACACAAAGAATTCCTATAACTCAACAATAGCAAAATAAGCTTAGTCAGCTCAGATTGCTATTTTTAAAAATCTAGACAGGGTGGCTTAAACAACAGACATTTATGGGCCGGGGATTTATTTAGCTCAGGGGTTCCGGCGCCTGCCTTGCAAGCGCAAGGTCCTGAGTTCGATCCCCGGTACCAAAAAAAAAACAAAATAAAAACAACAGACATTTATTTCTCATAGCTGGGAGGCTAGGGAATCTAGATTAAGGGCTAGCAGACTCATTTCCTGGTGAGGGCCCCTTTCCTGGCTTATAGGCAGCTGTTCTCTTTCAGTATCCTCACCTGGCACACAGAGAGGACTGTGATCTCTTCCTCTTGTTATAAAGACACTAAGCCATCATATACTGAATTTTTGTGAACTATAGTTACCTCTATTGTGATGTAGAGCACTAGAACTTGTTCCTCTTATCTAAATGGTTTTTTCTACCCATTGTATTTGAGACACAAAGAGCAGAGAGACCACCTGGCAGGCTTTGTGTGAGCAATGAGGCTATATTCACTCGGGTGAGAGCAAGCTGACTCTGAGAAGGGAGTCAGCCCAGAGTGGGGAGAGAGCAAATATTTTTTATGAGGAGCTTAAAGGGGAGGTGGTTGCCAGGATCAGTCTGAGGAGCTGCTGCCTTAAGGAGTCTGGGGGCAGAGATCATGTGGAACAGGCAGCAGTACAGATGTTTCCTGGAATCGAGGGTGATGTAGCTGTACTCAGACTTCCTGGAACTGAAGGCTGAGGCATAGTGCTCTGCAATGGCCTTTCCCACCAAGCGTGACATTCCTGTCTCTTTGTTCTTATAAAAACAAACAAACAAACAAAAAAGAGTGAGTTGGGGAGATGGGCACTGTTTCTCATGGCTGCTTAGTGTGGGACCTGCAGGTGGCACAGACACCTTAATCAGGAGAGAGTTCTTTGGGGATGAGAAGGTACAAGGAGGTGGTCAGAGCAAGCATTTATTGCATTGACTGATTGGTGATAGCCTGAACTTGATTTTGTAGGAATTGTGAAAGAACCTTGAGGAGGCATGGCCCAAAGAGGAAGAGGAGGAGAATACAGATAAGAGGCCCAGTTAATAGAAGGAGCCACAGGCCCAGTTCCAGATACTGGTCATTCATTGTCCAATTTCTACAGCCTTGTCATTTAGCTTTTTTGCTGCATTTCGTACCATGACTGACTGGCTGGTATAAAAGCAACATTCTTCTCCTAGGAAGACACATAGGCTGCCTTTTTCAGCTGTGAGAAGATCCAGGCCCCTATGATTTTGGAGGGCTACTGATGCCAGGGAGTCTAGCTGGCTCTGTAAGGTAAGAATGGAAGTTAGCTATTTCCTTGAGGCTGTAAGAGAGATCTTTCAAAAGGGTATGATAATAGGTCAGGGAGATGGCTAGACCTGCTATTTCTGTACCTGTGGCAGTAGCAATACCCAGACCAATAAGCAGGGGTACCATTATTAGGTTCCTATGTTGTTAGATCAGGGATCTGATTGTGACAGGCAGGGTCTGGTTCCCCAGGGTAATGCCTGGTTTTGGGCTGAGGTATGGCAGTGTGCAGGTGCCAGTCCAGTTAGTGGAGAGGCATAAATAAGTGGAAGTCCCACAAAGAAAAAAAGCACCTTGTCTGGGTAATCAGAATTGGTTATGGATGATAATGTAAGAGCTTTTTGTTTTCATATTCTCGAATTCCCAGAGTACCTTATAGGGCAGCTTCCATCAGAGGTTGGAAGAATACCCCATGGGAGATGTTGCTGTCATTTTTTTCTCTGTCCTCCCATTGGAAGAGGAATCTTTTGGTATCTATTAAAAGCCATTGTAAGGAGTAGTCAAAGGTAAGCAAGAGGAGGCACTCTGAGCAAGTGGGAGATTGGTGACAAGGGGTCCATGGATGCATGATCATGAATGGGAAGTTGCAGCTATTATAGAAATCTGCC